CTAGGAAAAAAAAGTGATCATCACTTAGCCTCGCTGGTTCTCTCCAAACAATACGAACTGATTGAGTCATCCATTCTCTGGGGCAATCAATTCACCTTGGCATACCAGGGACCCAATCAGAAGACTGATTGGGTCCCTGGTATACCAAGGTGAATTGATTGCCCCAGAGAATGGGTGACTCAATCAGTTGTATTGTCTGGAGAGAACCAGCAAGTAGTTCAAACTCACCTAGTGAGGTTCAAGGCTAGCAAAATTGAAGATTAAAGTCCCAGTTCTAACTTAACAGCATACCACCCTGACTATATATTTTTCCTCCTGGTAAGGTCAGCTGCTGTTAACTATTGTGTTGAATTGAAGGAGTGGCAAATGCTTCAGATGTTTTAAAGCAGTAGATCTTCTCTATGCCTCACTAAACATGGTCAGGCTTATTTCCAACTCAGTTTGTTGCACTCTTGTGTTTATACTCCAGCAAAAAATGCTGATGATATCAGTAGAGATTGAATTGCTTAAGAAGTTAGAATTGTATCGGTGGGATGGTGTAGCAAGTTGGCTAAAAATGCAGGTTCATCTCTGCATGGCCTGAAACACTGCAAAGAATTATCTCTCCTCCCCCCGCATCCCCCGTACACCTTCTGTTTTCTAGCAACTTATTACAAAACTAAGTAAAACCATTTCACTAATCAAGCATGGCTGTCAATTAGATTCTTACTGGTCTTCCAGGAGCATTACCTCATAGTAAGTTATTTTCCCTCGACAAGCAAAGGGGGATATGGGATAAGAGAATGCTTTTCCAGTGACTGCTCTTGTGCCTTGAACTCCTTGAAGGATCTGTATATCTTCACATGTGTGATGTGGTTCTTTGATAACAAGAGAAATCCCAGTTAAGGTGAGAAATGTCAGGATAAGGAACATGGAGAAGGCTGCCAGAACTTGTTTCCCCAACAGCAAAGGAAAGGCAGGGTGGATGTTGGAGATAATCATGTGGGTGGTTGAAGCATCCATCCAGTTGTGTAGAAGAGAATCTTTCCTACTACCACAGATCTGAACTATAGAAAAATAAAGCAGATTCAAAGTTAATTACACAGAAAACCCATAAGACTTCAACAACCATTCATTTAACATTTTGTACGCGCAGCGACTAATCTGCAAAATTGTAGTCATCTTAAAAACAAACCAGGCACTCACTGTTCACTTCAGATAATGTGATATCTAAAGTAACCTGTTTCCTTTAGCGGTTGACAGTCTCTCCCTCCCATCCCTACCCATCTCTCTTTCTCTGATAAAGGCCACTTTCATCAGATGAAATGCTATACTAGTACTCCTTGGTGGAGGGGAGGGGGGAGGGATTCAACTGCCAGCTTGATAGAGACCAATTTTAAGTCCAGTTTGGAGTTGAAGACGTTTGTGTGTGATTCAGCACTATGAGTCTAGAGACCTAAACTTAGCAGTATGATTTACAAAAAACCCTCCAACAACTGACTGATCCTATAAATAGCACAGTAGAAGCATCACTGTAAACATCCCGTCGATTTTTTTTTTCCTGTTGCTTCATATCAGGGGTAGCCATGGGGTGGGGGTTAAGAAAAGGCAAGATGGCAGCATAAATGCATGATGGAAGCCCTGTCCCTTTTAACAGATGGACATTCAAAAGGGGTAGGGCTTTGACCTCATGATCATGGACACCAACTTGACTTTTTTGATTCTAAACCTCCCCCCCCCCAAGTGGATGCCTCTGCTTCATATATTTGGAATATGGGGAACGAATACATATCAGTATTGAGGCAGGGAGAGATATAAGGCAGGAAATGAAGATCTGTCATATCAACTTTAAAGAAAGCGATGCATGATTGCAATAGAAAAAGGAAAAACAGCGTTTTAAGGAGGCATATGGATTTAACACTGCGACTTGATTCTGATTCCCAAAAATAGTTTCAGAGAGCATATTGCAAATACTGGACCTGTCTGCAACACCTGAAAGCAGTTATGTCTTTTCCTGGGATTACAGCCAGGAAGGGAAAGCCAGTCTTGTGAGCCTGGGAAAAGAAGCAGCCGCTTTAAAGAGTTGCAAACAGCTACTCTGTACATACTCCTCTGCACTTCAGAGCACCATTTCAGAATAGAATCCTCGGTCCTGCACAGCCCAACTATTAACCTACTAACTGACAAGAGTGTCTCCAGAATATGGTAAAAAAAATCATGTTGGTGGCCACAATGGTGCGACTGAAGCTCTGCCTGTTTTTTATGTGCAACACACATTAAAAGGCAGAGTTTTGACCCCATCATTGTGGCCACCTTCTGGACTTCTTTGTCTTCATCCTGTGGAGATCCTTGAACTATCGTCATTTTGGAGGAATTTTAACATTCTGATCAGGGTCATGAATTGTGAGCATCCTGACCACAAACCTATTGATATCATGAATTGCAGAGTCAACTTCCATTTGGTTAATACTGGTCCATCCTAAGTGGTAATTCATATATGAGGGAATGAGAACTTCAGAGATTCCTTATTTCTGTACAGTTGATTAGTAGCTAGGTTTTGGGAAATCTGTGCAGACAGCTGAAAAGTTATGTGTACCCTATAATAAATAGCATTGCTTGTAGGTAAACACAATATAATAAAAATATGGTAACATTTGCTTTACTCCATGAATGTATACAGGTGGGTGGCTGTATTCAATCTGATATGGAGGGGTTATGGGCTCCTATTTCACAGATGGGGTAGGAAACATTATCTGGGTGAACAAGATACTGAATACCTCAAGGAAACCCAATGAATTGGGATGTTAATCCAGATCTACTGGATCCAAGTATGTCAAATATTTCCAATCAAAGAAGTAGTAGAGTTGCACTTGCTTTTTCTTTCCCTATTGTTGATTCTCACTTGGCAAAGTACAAAGAAGATTCTGAACCTTGGTGAGACAGCTCACCTGTTCCTTTGCCTTTCAGTATGCCCTAGGAAAATGCCTTTGTGTTCACGTTGCTGGGTTACTCTAAGATATGTCTGCTTACTGCCTCTCTTGTTACAAGGCTGTACAAAGCCAACTTATTCCTTGGAGGAAACAGATACTTGTTATGAGATGAGATTACAACACGTTTGTTACACATGTTTGTGTAACAGGATGGGTTCTGTTGTTGTGACTGGCAATTTTGGGGTGAGAGGTTTTGCTCCTAAAATTTCTTGGAAGCAGTTGGAAGACGTGTTGATGGAATCAAGATGTTCATGTGGATAATTTCTGTCTTTACAAGACACAATTGTAGGTAGAATGGCATTATCATGAAGAAAGTGAGGGACTAAGTAGAGCTGATTTCTTTAAGAAATGTATCTTCTGCTCTTTCAGTATAATTACTAGGGTGGCTTTAAAGTCTCCCACAAGTTGAACATCTTCTGGTGGCTTCATGGACACATCCATGTATAGTATTTTTTTTTTTTTGGCAGCAAGGCAGAACTAACTTGCCACTGGCTTCTTTCAGGATGTTTTTGTTTGTTTGTTTACTTTCCAGTCTAATCTGCAACTCTGATATCTCCTAGAGGTCTCCCAACCGCCTGCTAACAAGGCTGAATCCTGCTTAGCTTCTGTGCACAAGAAAATCTGCCACGTGCTGCCATCTGCTGAGATGTAGAGAAGTGAAACAGTTAAATATATGCAAATAAAATACTGGAGCACATTTTGAAAAGAACAGCTTAAACCCCTTTTGAAAAGATAAGGAGAATCAGAAAAGTTATATACAGAAGAGCTTCATGCAAGCAGGTCAGATTCAACCATAGCTTCTCCATCAAATGCCTGCAGCAGAAGACAAGGACGATGGTGGAAATAGTTTGGTTTAGGCCTCCTAAAGACAGAGCTTCCAAACCCTGGGTATGAGCACAGAGAAGACGCTCTCCTTAGTTCCAATCAACCACCCTTCTACCCACTGGGAAAAATTTTATTTCCTTCAAAAATATACAGAAGAAAGCATTGCTTCCAGTGTTCCTATTACAAAGCTTTGTACAACCAGTCCTTTGAATCTGATCTGGAATACATCATGAACCAGCCTCACAGGTTTCCACAAGAGACTTAGATGCTCTCCAAAGTAGCATTCCAAGTCACTTTCTCACTCAACAATTGATTCTGCCTCTAACAATGACATCATATTTATTGGCAAGAGAGATAGCACAGCCAGAATAATTCTCCATTAATTCTTTGTTCTCCAAACCACAGTGAGTAAAATTCAGATTAAACTTCTGGCTATACATACAACATGGCTAACACTGATTAACTTGGCTGAATCAGTTAAGCTTAACCCTGCTCACATAACATACTAGGTTAAAAAGTGGTTGGTTAGTTTATGGTTCAGTTAGAAGCTTCAGATCACACTGATTAAATGGAAAGATTGTTCTGGTGCCCTTGTGTTGGTAAAACAAGTGGCATCTTGCAGATAGGGACTTGGCTGTACATGCAGTTGATATGCAAAATTACTGGGAGAGTAAAAAAAAAAGAAAAAAGAAGAAATCAAGATGAAGATTTCTTGCCTTCTTCAATAATACAGGCACCCTGCCTCTTTTACTCACAACTCAGAACTGGCATTCTGTGTTGCAATTGTGATGGCAGTAATTAGATCTTGTACTTTGAGAAGGAAGAAAGAGGATCACTAGAGAGGAAATCCATGTACCAAAATAGGACATCTATATGGTCTCCTTCCCAACAGAGATGAATGTGCAAACACCTCTGTGTGTACAGATTGTTAACCAGATGAGTTTGTTTGTTTGCTTAAAAAACAACTGCTTGCTCATGGGTGGTGAGAGAGGATTATTGGTGGCACTGGAGTTATCAGGGACTGTATAGATTTATGATGTACCATTATTGACAATTATCAAATACCAGTAGACTGTTCCTGTACAAGGCACTTGAATCAAAATGAGTTTGAATATGATGTCGAAAGAGGCTTTCTAAAGTAGAAAAAAAAATATTAATTGAAAGTTTTTGTTGAACTTATTTCTGCTGGGCCAACAAAGCAATATACTAAACAAATGGAATCAAAATAAAGACAGAACCATTATTAAAACCCATTACAGGATATCAAAGTCCAGATGAAGCTATATATGCTTTTTGGCATGGTTCAGTTTTGTAGAAAGGGAGAGAACCCTCAGAAGAGATCCCACTAGGGGGATTAAAAAAAAAAAAAAAGATTCTACCAGATGTATTCACTAACCTCTGTTGCTGAGGAGCACATGCTTCGTCTGGGCAGGACTCTGATGGATTTTGATTAAAGCTAGTCTCACAGGAGAGGAAAGGGGTTTTGACCTGCCTCACTGCAAGCCACTTAGGACTTTATAGCTCAAAGCAGCACCTTGAACTGGAAACAAATGGGAAGCTACGGTGGTTGGTTTGAGATCAGGGATGTGTACTGAAGCAAAGTGTGTGAGATGGGCAGCTATATAAATATAATAAATAAATAAAATAGCTTGGCAGTTGTTGCTGGCAGTGTCTATATCTGGGGTGTTTCTCTGACTCTTAGACAAGCTATTTATATTTTGCAGCAGGTCAATTTAGCAGCAGAAACAGCAGGGACCTCCTTCTGTTGAGATGCAATGAGTAGGTTTGAGTCACATGAAATGTTTTCTGTGCAGCAAGAGGGGGTTGTGCAAATCTTCTGTGACGTCTGATCCTGATCCCTTAACATCTATTTCTGAAGAAGAACCAGGGGTTAGGAAGTGTCACCAGAATTCTTTGGCATTTGGATTCCAAAGCAGGGAGTTCACCATTCCAAATCTTAACTGCAACCATGCAGCTCTTAAGAGCCAAAGCACAAGTCCCTTAAGTGTTTCCTAGAAGGGACAGAACTGCATTCTCTGCTGCGGATCACTGCTGAAGCAGTTCAGGCTGCATACACACACACACACACACACACACACATATACGCAATGAACCATAAACCGATCAACCATAGTTTAACTTACAGTGCTATGTGAATCTGGCAACTATGTTTAACTTACAGCTTTATGTCTCATGCACAGCCAGATATTGAAGAATTAGATGTTACACAATGGGTAAGTGTGTTGCACGAATCCAGCCCATCTTGTATCAGCTTTTGTGCCCTTTTTCCTGATTGGAAAATGTAGACTTATTCCCTGGCTTCTGGTTGCCATCTTTCAACCTGGAGTTTGCCTTGCATGATAGAGTAGGTATGTGCAGGCAACATGCTAACTCTTGTTTAACTCAAACATGGTTTCCTCAAACCAATTGCCTGGGTTCACCGAACTAAATAGCAGGAATGTTGGCTGCATTCATATAACACTGAACCCTATGCTTGCCAGCTACATTTTAATTGGTGTGTGATATGAAAATACTCCCTATTGTTTAGAATTATAAGCTCTGGTCTTATGACCATTGTTGACACTTGTGTATCTGGCGTCAGATCTTCAGTTTTGTGAACCACAGGTAATTATCTACAGCCCAGAGATACTGAAGCCTGAACAAACCCATAGTTGGCTGGCTGGGTTCACTCAACACACTGAACCAGAAGCTAGCCAAATGCATTTTAATTGGCTTAACTGAGTAAACCTTGACTGAACTTGAAAAACTAATGAGAATTGGACCTGGCTAGTATTTGGATCAAAGATCACCAGGAAAATCAGGGCAGAGGGCTAGACTGCGATGTAAAGAAGAAACAAAACCCCTGGAAAAAACAATGAAAAACCACTTCCATATTGTTGCCAAGACACCTGCATGGATGTTGTGGAGTGTTGGGTTATTACTACTATTGACTGATGAAGCATGCCTGTGATCTTGTATTGTTACTCAAACATCTGTCTGTACATGTTGTAATTCTTGCAGACTCCTTGGAGTCATTACTCTTGATTCTAGATTGCTTAATGGGTAGAAAAGGCCCATCTGCATCCAGAGAATCGCTAGGAGTTGAGCTTGGGTTGAAAGTAAGATCAGGGTGTTCTCTTATTTGTCAGCTTTTGAGAAAACCCTTATAGGATCCAGCCGGTTCCATTGGCTAAAATATTTGCTTGTTTCATGATCAGGCAGGGTTTTCATTTCCCAGATAAAGTGTCTGTTCTAGGGAACTTTCATTGGTACTGAGACTGTTGACTGACAGATTTGCAAAGGAACAGGGTTTCCTCTGTTTGTCTCACAATAACTAACTGGGCTCTAGAGATTATGCTTGCCCAAAACTCCCAGCTGGATTCAGAAGACAGGAAGTGATTTTGCAAAAGCCTTTCTGTGCCAATTAATAGAGTTCCTGTTGATTCATTTTTATAGGTTCCAAAAAGCATTTTCCAGCATTATAAAATAATGCTGTGGACATTTTTGTATCAGAGAAGTCAAGGACCACTCCTCCCCTTCCCCCTCTCACTTACAGGCTTTAAAATTTAGCAATCTTCCTTCCACCAACTTCCATGTGGTTATTCTATCTGCTGAGCATTGCTTTTGTCTCCAGACAAACTGCTCTGCATGAATTCTGACGGACTCTGTTTCTTCTTGACAGAGGTGTTCCAAAATGTGTTTTCAAAGCACATTTGCATCTTTCAGCAAGAGAAAAAAAAATGAATAAGAGGATGTGCTAAGAAAAGAACTGTGATTGCATCTGGAATGTAAAACTACCTCCCTCGAAATCCAACAGGGGTGTGGAGAAATCTTTTTTTGCTTGCACTAACTAGTCCCATCCAGTCATTGTGCTGTTGTATTGCCTCAAAGGCAAACAAAAGTTAGGTTGGAGACGAAATTAGGACTCAGCAAGTCCTTGCAGATGGTGTTTTGCTTTGGAAGGTTTACCAAACAATTCAGTGAAAAGTTTTGTGACACCTGTGGCGTAACTCTTCTATGCCAGGATGTTTCCCAACCAAGAATTTTGTTAGGTCATTCAGGTGGGATGTATGGATTTATGCTATGTCCAGGTTGAATAACGCTACTTGACCCAAGTGAATAGGAGAGTTATGGGGAGTTACAGTGGCCAGCTGCTGCTAAGCTACATCCTCATTTCAGCTCAATAGAGGAAGAAACTCAACTCACATATTGTTCAAGGAATGGGGAAGTTGCATTGTGAGATTTCATTCCATACTTTTCCATCCTGGACATCTCAGAATGTTTCGCAATTTGAGGCAGAGCTGCAAATGACTCCTATTTCCCCAGCAATGGAGCCTAGGATCCAACAATGTTTGTTTGTAAGGCAGACAATCCCACAACTGTCTCTTTCCCTTTCCTTGCAGTGACACGTTACTAATAAAGTAATCTATGTTTTTGAGACATCAAAAATGGATGCCTATGCTTTGCTCTGTAATATGTATGTGCATGAATTCTAGACTTACGCTTAAGTAGGTGATAGCATTTACTGATCTTGGTGGATCTCAAAAAACTGAATTGTTTAATATTTGGATGGGAGAGAACAGGCTAGATTGTGAAGTAAAAAAACAAACACCCTATACTGTTGCTAAGAAAACTACATGAAGGAGGTGTCTGGGATGCAAAGTTGAATCAAAAGAGACTTTCTGTTGGTGAAAACTTCCTACTTTTTGCCATTCTTCCTGGCCAGTTAAGAGTAGGCTGATATACCTTGCTCTAGTCCTCACTGTTAAATGTCCTTTTGATTTTCTCATTGATACAGAATTGTTCTCCTCAAAATCCCTTTTGAAGCCTGGTTTTTCCAGGTAGTTGGGAAGAGATCCAGTTTCCTTCTAGCATGGCCAATTGTTTTCTGTTTGATATACTTGGTATTGTTTTCTGCTTGATCAAGTTCCTAATCAAGGAACTTCCAAGGAGAAAACCACACCCCCACCAACACTGGAAGGGCAAGCTATTGTATATAAACAGGGAATAAACCCCACACTCACCAGCACTGATGTCACCTCGTCAGGTAATGAAACGTCTGCAAGCAAACAACCAAGCTCAGAGAGCTCCAAGGACTCCACAGAGTCAATCTTGTGGACAATCTTAAGGAGCTAAAATACTTTTTTTATTGTTTTGGCTGTCAAATGTTTAAGGTTTATGTTTTATGAAACAATGGCTTTTTAACTGCTGATGTTCTTCAGAACTGGAAAGTATGCTTTAGTTCTATTTATTTGCACTAAACAATAATGAACAAGGTACTTCTTATTATACTTTGGCAGCACAGGAATGTTGGTGCATGAGAAATAGGACTCCTCTACAAGTGAAGTGGGGGAACTAGGAAATATCCCTGGATGAGTTCCACTGTGGTCAGTGATCCAGAAGAACCTGTGTGGAAAATGCTGGGAGCTGCAGAGATGAGGAATTTGCTCAGATACTGACTGTCTCCCCAAAAGGCAGGACTTGTAGGGATGGCATGAACTGGTTGGGCACAGGGGTGTCCACAGGGAGAGTCACAAAAGTCAGGATGGCAGCCACAACCATACAATCAAAACCTTGCCCACTTTTTAAGTGCATTGTGGGCCACCATCTTGACTTTGTTTTATCCTTGGTCTGTGGACACCCCTGGTGGGCCATCAGAACTAGGAATATTTTTTTTTCTCCAAACCATAATTTTGTCGTTAATTGGGGTTTGAGTTACCTCTTATCCTGAATAGAGATTGGATGTGAAGCCTCCAAGGCACAGCCTAGCTCAGGAGTTGAACTCCTGGCCAGATCTGGGTGTTGAAAAAGTTCACGTTATTGACTTATGCTGGGGCAAGTCAAATATCTTGCTCTTCTCTAAAGTGCCTGGCAACCTGCTGGAGATCTTTTGGCCAATGGGAAGGATGGTTATGGGTTTTCCTCATTATGCCCAAGTTACACCACTCATCTGTGAGCTGCATTGGCTTCCTGTAGGCTTATGGGAACAATTCAAGGTGCTGGCTATCATCTATAAAGCCCTGAATTGCAAGGCTGCTTTTTCCCAAGGGTATCTGCCTATCTCACATGCTCCAACAGGAAGGGCACATTCTGGGTCCCTTCTTTGAAACTATGTCACCTTGTAGGTCCCAGG